AGGGTAGGGGGAAGGGGAGGGGGAAGGGGTGGATGATTCGAGTGGACCGAGGGATCAAAGCGGCGCGGACCAAGTTCGGCGGCGTCGGCTTCGCGGCGCAGCTTTGGCGGAGCAGAAACAACAGCAGGCTGATTCCGAGAGTCGTTTTCGTCGCTCTGTCTCTCTCGCACTCGTGGGGGGCGCCGTAAAGGTGCGAGAGAGACAGGACGACTCGCGGCCTCAGTCTGCAGTATAGTGTAGCGCCCAACTGGAACTGCGAGGAGAAAAATGCGGCGCCGCAGCGCGAAAGAAGTGCAAACAATACGAATAGGAGGAGGGACGGCACGGCTGCGCTCATGAATGATTTCTTTCTGACAGCCGCACGCCGCAGCGCAAGCCTCAACTCGTCGCTCTGTCTCTCTCGCACCCCTGCGGCACGCCTCGTGAGTGCGAGCGAGAGGGCGTTGGAGCGGCCCCGCCTTGGCCCCGCCCCGCCAAAGTTCCGTCCGAGCGACCTCTCGTGAGAATCAGAGCCCCGGCACTCCGCGGAGCAGAGCAAGAGCAAGCAGAACAGGCAGAGCAAAGAAAGCCGCTGTTATTAATATTTCCTAATACCTTTACATTGCCTTTCTTTCTGGCCACCGCGCAGCTCCGCCAGCCTGGGCTAGCCTGGGAGCGCACAGTGGGCCAGAAACCGCTGGAGGCGGCCAAAACTCTAGACGCGTTTTGAGCTCCAGAGTCGCTAAATAGGACTCGAACCGAACATGTGACCCCACCAATGGATTCCTCGTTCGGAGAGCTATCCATTGGTGGGGTCACACATTCGGTTCGAAACGACTCTGGAGCTCAAAACGCGTCTAGAGTTTTGGCCGCCTCCACCGGCTTCTGGCCCACTGTGGAGCGGCGAGACTGCCGCATGCGTGCTTTCTTCGCGGAGCCACCGAGCCGGCAGCTCTGCTTTTCTTGTCCTTCCTTTTTCTTTCCTCCCGTTTCTCTCTCCCCTTTTCTTTCTTTTTTTTCGACATTTGTTTCCCTATGTTTGTTCCTCCGGGGTCGACATTTCGAATTTGGGCTGTCAGAAAGTTTTTCGCGTGCTCCGTTACACGAGAACGCGTGCTGTTGCGGGGAGCCTCGCGTCCTAGCACTGTCCCATCGCTGTCCCGACACTGTTAAGAAGTTTTTCGCGTGCTCCGCGTTGCACGAGAACGCGTGCTGGTCGTGCCTGACTCCTTTCGCTGTGCTGACATATGTCAGAACAATAGTGTCCTGCCTGACACTCCTATTGCTGTCCTGACTCCAGAAGTCCTGACACTGTCCTGACACTCCTATCGCTGTCCTGACTCTTGACGTTCTGGCACTCCTATCGTTGTCCTGACACTGTCCTGACACTCTTATCGCTATTTTGACTCCAGACGTCCTGTCACTCCTATCGCTGTCCTGGCATCGTGACACTGACCTGACACTGCCTCGGGCACTGCCCCAACGTTTCGTTTTCCTACCCCTGGCGTTGTCCTGACGTTGTCCTGTTTTGACACTCCTATCATTGTCCTGACACTCTTATCACTGTTCTGACACTCCTATCACTGTCCTGACACTCCTATCACTGTCCCGACACTCCCATCACTGTCCTGACTCCTGACGTCCTGACACTCCTATCGCTGTCCTGACGTCGTGACACTGACCTGACACTGCCCCGGGCACTGCCCCAACGTTTTCCCACTCCTGGCGTTGTCCTGACGTTGTCCTGACACTGCCCCGAGAGGAGGGCCGATACTGATTTCGCTCCCCTCGCCCCCTTGCCAACCCGTGCCGCCCCGCCCCGCCCCGCCCCGCCCCGCTCTGCGCTGAGGTGAGGGTGACCCACCTTGGGTGGCCTTTCGACGAAATCTGTTCCCTTGGCGGAAGACTCTGGCCTTCTGCCCCGGCCGCCCCGGCAGCAGCAGCACCATAAATTGACTGAAACCAGCCCCTCCCCCTCCCCCTCCTCTCCCCTCTGTCTTAAGGGAGCCCCAGAATTTAATTTGGAGCCACGATTTCCTCCCCCGCCGCCCCGCCGCCCCAGCTTGCGCCATGCCTTTTATCCCCTCACTTATTCCCACATCTTCTGTCTTTTTCTTTCCTCCTTTTCCCGGCCGCGCGTCCTCCTCTTTCATCTTTCCTCCTTGGATGCAAAGACGTGCGGCCTGCCGTGTTCGCTCTGCTCGGGGATCGCTACCGGGACCTTGCTCGAGGCTGAGGCCGCGATCTCCATCGTCGCTCTGTCCCTCTCCCACTCATGGAGCGGCCCGTGCAGGTGCGAGAGAGACAGCGAGGGCGGCGGGCCGCCCGCCTGCGAGGTAGGCAGCGAGGCCGCAGCCATGTCCTCGTGTTGCCTACCTGCCGCTCCGCAGGGGCCGGGCTGGGGGCTGGGCCGCGGAGCGCACAGTGGGCCAGAAGACCGGTGGAGGCGGACAAAACTCTAGACGCGTTTTGAGCTCCAGAGTCGCTAAACTGGCCTCGAACCGAACGTGTGACCCCACCAATCGATTCCTCGTTCGGAGAGCGATCCATTGGTGGGGTCACACGTTCGGTTCGAGTCCCATTTGGCGACTCTGGAGCTCAAAACGCGTCTAGAGTTTTGTCCGCCTCCACCGGTCTTCTGGCCCACTGTGGAGCGCCGGGCCTGCCCCCGGAGAACGCGTCGGTGGTGGCGGCTCCCAGGCTCCCACACTGTCAAACCAAGTGTCGAGGAGTAGTTCTCCACACTTGAACGTTTTTGGAGTTTTCGGTTTCCACACTTCCAGTCGTGGAGTAGCTCTCAGAGCCCCGGCATGGTGCAGACGTGGACAACTGCACACATGGTGTGTGCAGGCTGCAAACTCTGCCCTTCCAAGCGCTGGGACTGAAAATTCCACATTCCCGCATTTTCAAGTGCCGAGTTCTTGGTGGTTTCACAGTGCAGTCGGCCGGTGTTTCGCCCACGCAACCAGCGCGCCCGATTGACGCGCCCACTCGACAGTAGAATTCATGCGCAGCGCGGCGTCCGTTCCATTTCGGGAATCGGTAATCAGCAAAGGCCGCCAATCGGCCAATCGCCGAATCGAGTGTTTACTCCTCTCGGCTTTCGTTCCGTTCGTCTATCATTTTTTTGTATTCTTCCTTTTGTTTTGGGCCGCAACGTTTTCCCCTGCACTCCACTCCACTTATCCATAGCGCTGCGTTATTCCGGAGGGGCCTAGGCTCGGCCGTGCCGAACTGCCATAGGTGTGACGAGGCGCCCCCCTCCCCCTTCCCCTTGCAGTGTAGTGTTGACCCTGCCGAATCCTCGGTGCTTTGTATTCGCATGCTGTGCCCCCTGCAGACTGACGCGGCACAGCGGCACAGCGCGCGCTGTCTCTTGTCTCTCTCGCGGGCCGCCGCACCACAGAGGGCCAGAAGACCGGTGGAGGCGGCCAAAACTCTAGGCGCGCTTTGAGCTCCTGAGTCGCTAAATGGGACTCGAACCGAACGTATGACCCCGCCAATGGACTGCTCTCCGAACGAGGAATCCATTGGTGGGGTCACACGTTCAGTTTGAGTCCTGTTCAGTGACTGGAGCTCAAAACGCGTCTAGAATTTTGGCCCCCTCACCGGTCTTCTGGCCCACTGTGCGACGCAGCGATGTGCGTGGAATCAGTCCCCCCCCCCCCTTTTCCCCCTTTCGCTCCGCCAAGTGCTGGGTACACAGGGCGCCCCAATGTAAACACACACACCCGCTGCATGTATTTCCGTTGCACTCATATTCGTCTCGGCGCGACAATCCGACAATCCGCGGCCCGCCACCTTTTTCATGAATTTTCGATGATTCCCGCGCGCTGTTTTCCCTCGCCAAGTAGAGCGCGACGGAGAGGTTCCGGCGCAGAGTGTGTGTGGTGTGTGTGTGTGTGTGAGAGAGAGAGAGAGAGAGAGAGAGAGAGAGAGAGAGAGAGAGAGAGAGAGAGAGAGAGAGGCGCCGCGGCAATTCCGTAATGCGGTTCGGCCCAGGCCCTTCCTCCTCCCTAATGCTGCCGATCACCACCGCGATGATGGGCTGTCGGCGTATTATTCGAGTATTTCGTGGGCCCTGGTTGGGCTGGGCCTTTCCAGTGGGCCCTCCTCGGGGCCCTCGCTGGGCCGTTTCACAGTGGGCCAGAAGATCGGCGCCGGCGGCCAAAACTCCGCAGACGCGTTTTGAGCTCCAGAGTCGCTGAAAAGGACTAGAACTGAACGTGTGACCAATGGATTGCTCGTTCGGTGGGGTCACTCGTTCGCCTGCACCGGTCTTCTGGCCCACCGTGCGTCGCTGGGCCCTTCACGGCCCCCACGGCTGGCGGCTTGCGACCCACCACCAGGACCCACCGCAACGCCGGGACGCCGTCAGCGACGGCCGGCGGGGCAGGACGACGACGACGACGACGTCGGCGTGCTCGGCGCATGCGCGCGCCGCCGGCGGTGGGCGTGGCCTGCGTGGCTCGCCAACCCGCGGCCCGCTGCCCCCTCCCCTCCCCTCGCCGCCGCGGCGACGCGCGGTACCCTCCAAACGGCAAATCTGTCACCGGGTTCGCACCAACACCAACACCCCGCGCGAAGCGCGAAGCATGAATGGGCCGAAGATGAAGTCGGAGGTACCTCCGAACCTGGCCCTTTCTTCTCCTCCTTCTTTTCGGATTCATCGGCGCTGAGCGCCGTCCATGGATTCGAAGGCTCTCCGCGGGGCGGGGCGGGGAGGGTGGCGGCGGCGCCGGCCCGGGGGTGGGGGTGGGGTGGCCGTGGCGGCGGGATGGTGGTGGCGGCGGCGGCGGGCCAAAAATGCCTCCCCTCAGTGCGAGTCGAGCCCGAGCCGGCGGCGCGTCGCGGGGAAGTGGTGTCGCTCTGCAGGACGCTGCCCAGCGCGCGCGTGTTTTTCAAAAAGTGTGTGAGTGTGTGTGTGTGGCCGTGATAGCGCGCCAGTGATAGCGATCGTGGATAATGGCGGTGCTCGGCCGGTGACGCCGTCGTCGCCGTCAGTCCCTCGCCGGCGTCGGGCCCAGCCGGCCCAGCGATAACCGTGCCGCCGCGTGCCGCCGACGGCGCTGACCCAGGGCGCACAGGTGCCGATCGCCGTGCCTCGCGAGCGTGGCTCCCCGAGCGTCGTGGCATGCATGGAGGTGGAGCGCATGTCCGGGCTGGCCGGCCTGCTCAGTGCCATGATCACGTACCGCAGCGACGTCCCCGTGCCGCTCACGCCGCCGCAGTCCTCGCCCGAGTCGCACGGCAACCTGGACCCCGACATCCGCCTGCCCAGGAACCTACCCACCGCCTTCCTCAGTGAGTGCACGCCCACGCAGTGCACGCAGTGCACGCAGCACGACCACCGCGCAGCGCCACTGGGAAACCGTCTGGACAACCCCACACTTGGAACGCCGCGGACGACTTTGCAGTCTCTGCGCTTTGGAAGTGCAGAGTTTTGCACGGTTGTTCCTTGTCTTCCCATGGACTATCTGGAAGTCACCCACCTACGCCTTTACTATGGGCTACCGCAGGAACCGTTTTTGTGCAGTCTCCACGCTTTGGATGTGCATTGAGAGTTTGCAGTCTCCACACTTCAGCTGTCCAGCTCTCCTCGTTTCCGCCGTGACCGAGAGATAGGGGCTCTCTGAGCCACTATGCCACACTTGAAGTGCAAGAAGACTGCAAACTCCCACACGTCCAAGTGTGCTGAATTGCTCCGCACCAAGAGGAGTGGTGTTCTCCGCTCTCGGTTGGACCCACACTGTAAAAAAAATTCCGTAGTTTTGTACGGAAAATGTACACACGAAAATGATACGGAAGTACGGACAAAAAGTACGGAACGTCCGTACTTGTCCCATAAGAACTCATGTAATCGGGTACGGAGAAAAGGTACGGAAGTTCCGTAGTAGGACAGGTACGGACGGTTCAGGCAAATTATTGACCAGACATGTTCCGTACCTTTTCCGTACATGTTTCTCGCAGTGCAGTAGCGTCGCGAACGCCTCCACCGGGAAGGGGATGCGCAAAGGACTGCACTGCTCTGCAGTGTACGCGCCCGGAGACTTGAGCGCCCGGCGAACTCGCGCGCCGCGTACCGCCGCCGCAGAGGGCCGGCACGTCGTCACCCCTGGTTGGTGACAGTGGCCTTGGCGGTGGCGGAAGCCGGCTTATTTGTGTTTTGTGCACCGCAATGGCCAGGCCGCCGGTTCCCGCCGGTGGCGGCTTGAGTGATGGGTTCCGCTCCCAGGACGATGACGGGGCCGAAGTCCGACTCCCTACTAAACGCTATCGATCGAGATAGGTCGTATGGGACGCGCGTCAAACAGGGCGCCAGAGATGCCCCGCAAAAATAAAGAAACGGCAACAGCGATCAACAAAAGATCCGCGCCCGTCAGGAGAATTGGCGGTCCGATTGCAAGAAATATCAGCGAGTTTGCCGAACCGGGCTCTCGTGAAGCGGATGTTGCGGCACTGCTAAGCCGGACGGATTCAGATTAGAAGTGCGCCGTGATGTGTACAGTGTGGTGTCACACGCACACGCCACACACTCGCAGCTCGTGCCGCCACTTTGCGTAACAATTTCGAGATGCCGCTCTCGACGGCCGCCTTGCCTTTGGGCGGTCGGCTCTGCGGTGCTCTGCGCGGCTTTGCCGTCGAGTGGCCGCTATCTGCGCGCGGCGCGGCGTGGGTCACTTTGCCGCCGCGACTCCTTTTCGCTTGCCGTTGTTTTTGTTGTTGTTGGTGACGGTTTTTTGGGGGGCATTGAAACGCTATCGCGCGGCGCGCTTTACGCTGCTCGCCGATGGCGGTCCGCGGTCCGCGGGTCCTGCCGCGGGGCCGCGGGGCCTTCGGACCGACGACCAACGCAGACCCCGCCAAGGAGGTCGTTATCGTGCTTGATAAGACACGGCTCCCGCGCTGGCCACCGCCATGCACCCCGTCGTCGGCGTCCCGCGGTCGTCGCCGCCCCCCGCGCCGCTCTGCCCCGCCGCGACCTGTAGCCCGGCACGTCGCGGCCAGGCGCACAGTGGATTTGCCAGAAGACCGGTGGAGGCGGCCAAAACCCTAGACGCCATTTGAGCTCTAGAGCTGCTGAACAGGACTCGAACCGAGCGTGTGACCCCACCAATGGATTCCTCGTTCGGAGAGCAGTCCGTTGGTGGGGTCACCTGTTCGGTTCGAGTCCCATTTAGCTGCTCAAAACGCGTCCGGGATTTTAACCGCCTCCGCCGGTCGACCCACTGTGAGGCGGGGCGGGGTGCGGCGGGGTGGGATGGGGCCGAGATAAGACCAGGTAGCCGCCGTCGCTGAAATCACTGCAGCACGCCGATAACGCGCGGGGGTCACGTGCCGCCAAGCAGGCCGGGAAGCACGCCGTCTTCGCCGCGGCAGGAAAACGAGTCCGGACTTTGGCGGGTCCGCGCCGGCCGAGCCTCATGGCGGGGCGGCATGAAAAAGGACCGCGATATCGAAAGATTGCCGTTGTTGACTTTTGGGTGCTGCTGCACCTTGCGGCGGTCCTTGCACCGTACACTCTTGTTGTTGTCCCTGACGCCGTGCTCTGTCTTGCAGCGAGCATCCCCAAGTGCGGGGGCTGCGGCGAGATGATCCTGGACCGCTTCATCCTCAAGGTGCTGGACCGGACGTGGCACGCCAAGTGCCTGAAGTGCGCCGACTGTGGCGCGCAGCTCTCCGACAAGTGCTTTGCACGCGGCGGGCAGGTGTTCTGCAAAGACGACTTCTTCAAGTGAGTACCTATCACAGACTGCAGGGCTGCCGGGGGAGGGGGGGGGGCACTGGGGTAGACCTGCGAACTGCCGACTCGGCTCCCCACGAGCTGAGCATGGCCAGGCGAGACAGGGGTTTACGACCGAGGTCGGAGGTTAGGTAGGGTTATGTGCGGTTAGGTGGTCACCTGTTCGCTTTCTGGCCGTGTCTCTGTCCATGCACTGAATGTTTATGTACTTTCGTAGTGCATGTGTAACAGAGATCCTTAACTTAACATTTAACTAACACTGCTTTCATAACGTAAAATAAGACAGTGTTCGCTAAAGGTTAAGGGTACGGACTTTTGGAAGTACTTCCAAAAGTATCTCAACACAAATTTAAAACACAAAAAAATAACTTACCCTTTTTGAAAAGATGTCAGACGTTAAGGTTAATACTTTAACTCTTACGATAACGTTATGATGCCCTTATGAGGTACGTTAAGGATCCCTGATGTGTAAGCTATGTGCACAATTTAAAACCTGGTTCAAGGAAAATATTTCCTTTTTGTGCTAAAATATTGATGAAATTGTACCTGATTTGTGTGCAAATTTGTGCACAATTTACACCTATACAAATACGTCCCTACGTACAAAAATGTGCACAATACAATAAAAACGTATGTACAATGAATGCAATGAAGGTTGAATGAATGAATGATTTTATGAATGAATGGACGAGTGAATGAATGAAGGACCATGATGATGAGATGATAACTGTGAATGAATGAATGAATGAATGAATGAATGAATGAATGAATGGATGAATGAATTGATGAATGAATGAATGAATGAATGATGAATGAATACGAACGAAGAGGATGTGCTGTTGGGAAGAGATACCTGTGAGTGATTGATGTGATATGTTGGACGGTGGCCATCGCCAAGGCCCCGCCCCGCTGGTGGACTGCTACGGCCTGCTATCGCGTCACGTGGTCGCCCGATGACGGGCGGGAATACCTAGGCCCGCAATCTGTGCGCACCGCTGCGTGGGGATCAAACCTTCAACCCTTCGAGTCTTCGAGTTTTCGGAGCGCGGAGAGGAGATGAGGAGAGCCGGTTTGAGTGACACGGCTGCCCTGCCGCCGCCTTTTAAGGTGCCCTCACTGTGAAAGGACAGCCGTCTATCAGTGTAGTGGCAGCGCGGCGTTTACTTAGAATCGGTGGCTGATTATCGGGAGTCCGTCTTCGCCCATTGACACTACCAGGATCACCGACCAGAATAAACTTGGCACAATCAAACAGAATCCATGTCGATTTAGATAAAAGGCATTACTGTCAAAAAATTGTAGGTTGAATCAAACTTGCTTCAATCTAGCTGATTTCCGTACTTATTCCACCTTAAAACGCCGTCTCTTGAGCCTAGAAAATCTACTTGCAACAAGTGAACTTTCTAGAAACATTGAAGTGGTTCAACAAACAGCTTTTTTGGTGCGTTTCAAACACGACTGAGCAAGAACTTCCAGGCAACATGACTAATAGTTTTGGTGTGGTTCGACTTGACTTGTTTTACAGTGACGTAGGGACGTCGTGGCCCGCGGCCGGCCTTTGCGGCCTTTGCTGCCATGCTTGCCGTTATGTAATGTTTGGTTTGCTTGTCTTCCGCTGCGGGGGGCCCAGGCGGTACGGCACCAAGTGCGCGGGCTGCGGACAGGGCATCCCGCCCACGGAGGTGGTGCGGCGCGCGCAGGACCTGGTGTACCACATGCGGTGCTTCGTGTGCGTGCTGTGCACGCGCGAGCTGACGACGGGCAACGAGTTCTACCTGATGGAGGACCGCAAGCTGGTGTGCAAGGCCGACTACGAGGCTGCCAAGAGCAAAGGTGAGTTGGGTAAGCACTCGTCGTTTTCTACCTCTTCTTCTTCTGCTTTTCCGTTACAGTGCAGGTGGTCGCGGACGCTGGCGCACCGTGGGCCAGAAGACTGGTGGAGGCGGTCGAAAATCCCGGACGCGTTTTAAGCTCCAGGGTAGCTTAAATGGACTCGAGCCGAACGTGACCCCACCAATGGATTGCTCTTCGGACGAGGAATCCATTGGTGGGGTCACACGCTTGGTTCGAGTCATGTTTAGCGACTCTGAAGCTCAAAACGCATCTAGAGTTTTGGCCGCCGGCGCCGGCCTTCTGGCCCACTGTGCGGCCTCGACCTTTTGGCAGTGTCGGTGAAGCCGTACGCCTTGCTGTTGCAGAGGGCAGCCTGGACGGCGACCAGCCCAACAAGAGGCCGCGCACCACCATCACGGCCAAGCAGCTGGAGACGCTCAAGGTGGCCTACAACAACAGCCCCAAGCCCGCCAGGCACGTGCGCGAGCAGCTGAGCCAGGACACGGGGCTGGACATGCGGGTGGTGCAAGTCTGGTTCCAGAACAGGTGAGCCCGCCACACAGACTGCTCGCTCTGTCCAGCTCTGTCTCCCTCGCGCCGCTGGGCCCCGCCCCGTGAGTGCGAGAGAGACAGAGCCAACTCTTCGGAATCCGCCCGACGGGATGTAGGGCGCCGATTAGATTGGTGGCCTCTCGAGCGCGGCGCGACGCGGAGACGGTCTCAAATCACAACAGAACGACGAACGGTGACACAGCGGGGCCGATGTGCGCACACTGTGCGTCCGACTCGAGAGGTGCACTGGAATGGCGCAGCGATTTGCAGCACTCGAGGAGCACTGCGAAAATTTCGCGTCATTTCGTGACAAAACTCGTGGACTCGCTCGTGGATGACACTGTCATCAATTAAAAATTATGACCATAGGCCCATCTTAATCTATCATCACAATTTGGTGAAAGTTTTCATCAAAGGTCCTGTTCTGATAGCATGGGCATGACGACAGTGTCATCGACTAGGTTTGTGACACCCTTGTTACGAAAAGAATCCTTGACATTGTCATCAAGTGTTCACAAATATTTTGACAGTGCTGCTCACCCTCCGCCGAGGGCAACCTCCAAGGGCGACCAGAAAGAACTGAGCGCCTTTCGGGACGGGGATGAGGCTTGAGAGTGTTATTTGTTCAGGTACCGGAACTGACCCTCCCCCCTTTTTTTCCTCTTCCTTGCGGCGCGTGAATGGCTGCCAACCCGGACCAATATCGCGCGAAACTCCGCTCCACGCTTCTCGTTCCCAGCTTCCTGCGCTCCACTTTTCTGGAACCGCCTTGAGAGCGGCTCATCGGGCCGCACCGCGCGTACACGCGCGCATTTCGGGAAATTCTCGCGCTGAATGGGAAGTAATCGGGGAGGACGGTGCGCCCTGCCCCGCCCCGCCCCGCCCCGCCCCACCCCGCCCCGCCCCGCCCGCCCCCCCCGCCCCCCCGCCCCGGCGTCCAGCTCGTCACGGCTTATCTCATTGGAGCGCCACGAGGGCTGGACGTGGCGTGGCGTGGCGTGGCGTGGCGTGGCGCGGCGGGCAGGCCCGTGTCGGACGCGTTGGCCGCGCCCCAGTCCACTCGAACATTCCGCACTGCGCGTGTTTTCCTATTGTACACACCCGACCTCTGGGTAACGCGGCTACTTCCAGCCCCCCCCCCTTTTTTGATCGGAACAAACCACTGTCCGTGTTCTGCGAAACGACACAACATGTAGATAGGGCTGGAAAGGGGCAGAAGGGGAGAGGCTGAATATTCCACCAGACAAAACATCTGTCAGCTGTTTTGGTTTTTGTCTGTTTCTTTTGTTTGTTTGTTTGTTTGTTTGTTTGTTGTGTTTGTTAGTTGTTTTTGAAAGCGCTGTGTCGATTTTCAGCTCGGCCGCGAGCGTGGTGGTCGCTGAAAAGGCGCGCGGCTACCGAATTGCTGCTGCTCCGGGTGCTGCGGAGTGATTCCGAACAGGATACGTTTTCGTCTCGTTCGGAGAGCAATCCATTGGTGGGGTCACACGTTCGGTTCGAGTCCCATTTCGCGACTCTAGAGCTCAAAACGCGTCTAGAGTTTCGGCCGCCTCCACCGGTCTTCTGGCCCACTGTGCGACGGGGCGGCTGGGCAGGCTTCGCTGCCTCGCCGCTCCGCTGGGCTCCGCGATTTGGCCGATTCCGCCACCCCGGCCCGGCCTGGCTTGGCTTTGTTCGGCCCGGCGCGGCACGGCGATACAAAATGGCGGCCAGACTCGCGCCCCTCGCGATTATCGGAAAGATGCCGCCGCACTCTTTTCTTTTTGTTTTTACGTTTTTTTGCTGTTGTTTTGTTTTTGTTGTTGTCGTTTTGCCGCTGCTTTGTGGGCACGTCAACGCCGCGCGCGGCTCTGTGAAAAGCAACGGCAAGCGCTTTTGCTCTCTTGCCTTTGCGCGCAGCTTTTAGCTTTTGTTGCCAGTTTCCAATCATTTTGATTCTGCAGTGCGTTGCGTTGCTCTTACTGTTCTTTTTTTTTTTCTTTTTGAAAAATGAAAAAGGAATTGCCAAAAAAGGTTGACAACGCAGGCGGTGACCGCAAAGTCATCTCCAGAGAGAAAAAACTCAAGGCAAAAATCTCATTCAACGAACGTTAATGAAAGCAGATGATCCGTCGCGTTTCACAACTGCTGTGATAGCCGAGAGGTTAGAGACGTGGGATCGAGTTACCGCAGGCGGGCGTTCGAATACCAGCGTCACATACGTTTTTTCGACTTACTATCCTAAGGGTGGTGGTTCGAGGCCATCCGAGCGGAGCCGTGTGCAACAGACCCACATGCCGGAGGTTCGACTCCTAACAAATATTTCCATTTAATTTTACTGCCTCACCCAGTGCGGTTGAAACCCGTGAACGTGAGCCCGCTCCGTGCATGGGACGTGGTGGTCCAGGGAGTAGGGGCGTCGGCTCCCAATGCTAGGGTCGGCGGTTCGACTCCCCCAACTTCTTGCGAAATTTTGACCGGGTCGGTCGAGTCCTGTTGCGTCAAGAACCCACCTCACGCCGGTCACCTCATCATGGGCCGTGGTGGCCGAGAGCGTAAAGTTGTGTGATCCCGAGGGCGGGGTCCGGGGATCGAATCCCATCATTTCATTACATTTTTCGACCGCCTTCCTCCCAGTGCAACTCAAACCCGTCGTCCAACACGCTGCCAGACGTACAAGCGTGATAGCGTAGTGGTCAGAGTCACATTCACCTGGCCACTCCGCTGTGGGTGTCTAAAAAGCAATCCGCTTCGGCGGGTTGGCCTCGGCACTGGAGCGATGGAGTATTTGATCCATCAATCCAGACCATCCGGTGTGTGGTTGCGGGTGGTGCCTCCTTGACTCGTCGGGGAGGCGATGATAAGTCCTTTGAAGCTGGCCTAAAACGCTGTATGTTCGGTACGGGAGCGCCGGACAGTGGGGGTACCATGGGGTACACAACCAACCCTACGAAAACAAGAAGCTCCCACCAAACCTCTTCTCTGTCTGAGTCTCTCTCTGTCTCTCTGTCGTCTCACTCTACGTCCCGCCCCTCAAAGAGCTTCGTACTGGGTGCTCTCACCCAGCTGCCTGAGCTTTGGGGTCCTACTGGGTCCCCCGGCGAACGCTTGGGTCGCTGACGGGATTAACCCCAGGTACCTGATAGCACCGGTTCCCATCCCGAACACCGAAGTAAAGCAGGAGGCCTCCCCATTAAGACTGGGGAGGGGGTGTAGAGTTCAAATTTTTTTCTTTTCCCTTTCAAATTTCTCGGTTAATACTCGTTTGGTTTCCTTATACGGGGTAGTATGCGGGCTCATTCCAAAGATAGTAATTAAAATTGTGTATGAAACAAAATATATAGACCCGAGCGAGGTGGCCGGTGTTGGTACTAGCCGTGCCGAGCTGTGGCCTGCACCGCCCGCCGCCGAGCCCGAGCTGGCCCGAGTGCCCCGGGCCGGGCCGAATCGGGAGGCATTGTTGCGCGATATTCCGCGCCGTGGCAGGCGGGGAGGGATTGTCAATGTTGCGCGCAGGCCGTGGCAGGCCGTCGCGAGCGAGAGGGAGTGCCATTGTTTAGGCCCGGTGCCGCTGGCGCTGTACCGTGGAGGGATTGTCGAATTCCGCGCAGGCTGCGCCTCATTGCCAGCCAGCCAGCCACACGCACCAGCCCGCCCCGGCAGCCAGCCCCTATTATATTGTTTAGGATACGCGCTTCGTTTCTGGACTCGAGAGTAAAAGCACGCTGACACCTTCATGTGTATAGTAGTTTTAAGTATGTTTCAAGTGTGAAGGTATCATCTGCTAAAAAGTAAAAGAATGACGGAATTTTTAGACTCGCAAAATCAATTTACGACCAGATTTTTTTTAAAACTTCCACACGTTGTTGGGGTACAGTTTCGACGTGGCTCTTTCGTCATGTCTCCATTACTTTTGAGGAGACCTTGGTGGAGACTATACGCCCTGTTTTTGTAATGCGGAGTTTCTTCGTAAATTTAAGGAAAGTTTTTGTATTCGACTGCGCACCACCGCTGGTCCATCATGTCGCTTCCAGGTCACATCACGACATTTCACGAGGGTGATGTAAGAATTTTGAGCTTTTTCTGGCAGGGCCACCGGTACTACAGCCTGTCGCGGCGGGGCGCGACGTGTCAGTGCGACAAAGGCAGCAGGGGCGGTGGAGCGTCAGTCCATCCCATCGCGTTGGGCGTCGGGCTGGCCAACTTCCCTGCCTCCCCCACTGGGGGACCCCCAGACGGGGCCGCCCCGACCACACGGGGTCTGGGGGACGGGAAAATGGAACAAAATAAAACTCTCGAGGAATTTATGGCGCAGGAATAGGGGATGATTATTGGGGAGGGGAGGGCAGTCCTGTCTTAAATATGACCTTCGCAAAGCCCTGCCGCTCCCGTCCCGCTCGGCCCGCTCGTCGGGGGTGGATTCCCGGTTGGCTTAGCCCGGCTTCATGCTTCTGTCTATGCGTCTTACGCCGAGCAGGCCGCAGCCGCCTCGCAGGAGGGAGAAGGGGGGGGGTCACATCCGCGCAAGCCGCCCCTGGCACAGTTCCTCCGGGCGGGCGAAGGCAGTCCCTTAGGGCGCGGGCACTGCGGGCTCGGGGAATCCAGTACACCGGAAAAGGACACCGGTTGATACGTTAATACGATGCGGTTATGACGAAGGATACGAAAGGGACTGGAACGAGGGCTGGCAATTCCAAGTGAAAGTTTGCTAAATGGCGCGTGAGCGATCTTTCCGTTTAAATTCAAATTTCTCAAAAAACAACCATAAAAGTAACATAAAACTTGGAATACCATGTTTTTTTTACAGTGGGTGGAGCCGTCTCTTCGCAGAATAGTGAGGCAAAATGGCGCGCTAGAAGAATTTTAGCTCCTCGCTTCATTTCTATTCATGTGTGGTTATGTGCATTTTTATTTTATTTCCTCCGGCTCTTTACTCAGCCAATATATAGCGACGAGCAGTGTATATTCCCACTTTATTTTCTTCGTGACAGAAAACCAACGTTCCCTCTTTTCAGAGAAAAAAGAAAGTTGCGCTTTTTTTTTAAAAAAATGATTTTATTTTCCCTGGCAAGAGAGGGAGGCGCGTGGCTGCACGTCCCCGTCGAATGCACCGCGCTGCGCCACGCTAGCTGCGACGGTTTCTCTCTCTCTCTCTCTCTCTCTCTCTCTCTCTCTCTCTCTCTCTCTCTCTCTCTCTCCCTCTCTCTCTCTCTCCTCTCTCTCTCTCTCTCTCTCTCTCTCTCTCCTCTCTCTCTCTCTCTCTCTCTCTCTCTCCTCTCTCTCCCTCTCTCCCTTTTCTTCCCCTCCATTTGTCTCCGCGGCAAGGCCCCGGCAAGGGCAGTGCGCCGCCAAGCCCGGCGCCCCTGGCTTCATCTTTCGGCCGCCTCGCCCCGCCCCCCTCCTTGGCCGTGCCTTGGCCGTGCCTTGGCCGACCCTCGCAAGAACGTGGACAGCAAGAAATGGAGGAGCGCCTCCTCTCTGTCCTTTGGCCCGGTCCGCGGAGCCTGCATAGCTGCTCTGTCTCGCTCGCACCCGTCCGGGGCGCCCCGTGAGTGCGAGAGAGACGGAGCGACGGAAGCGCTGTTCGAGATCCGCCTGGTTGGCTCTAGACCTCCGGAGTGTCCCTCCTTCCCGACTACCACTGTATTTCTTCCATTGATTTCTTCGGTGAAAGGACCAACTTGTTTTGTTCGGCTCCCGTTTTTCAAACTTGCCGCGCGCTCGCGGCGACCCCATAGCCCTGCCCCAGCCCCCCAGCAGGCCGCCCTCCAGACTCGCAGACTTGCAGACTCCAGCCGCCCTCCCAGCGCTTCCAGCCGTGCATGCGGCCCGGCCTACCCCTCCGGCCCTACGGCCCTTCGGTCCGAAGTTTGTCGCGTCGCAGCGAATTTTGACGCGCGGCCGTGGCTCGATTTATGGCTTGTTTGTCCTGTTCCGTTCCTGATGTCGTTTTCCCAGCGCGGTGGATGCATGCTGTTGTTGTCCTAAACTGATGGCGTTGTTGTTGTTGTTGTTGTTGTTGTTGTTGTTGTTGCTGTTATCCGCAGACCGGCCAAGGAGAAGCGGCCGAAGAAGAACGCGAGTCGCACACGGTGGAGGCCCGTTGTTGTCCTGGACTGATGTTGTAGTTTTTGTTGTTTCTGGACTAATGTTGTTGTTGTTGTTGTTGTCTGCAGGCGGGCCAAGGAGAAGCGGCTGAAGAAGGACGCGGGCCGCACGCGGTGGAGCCAGTACTTCCGGTCCGTGAAGGGCGTGTCCTCGCCGCGCCACGACAAGATGGCCGACGACGAGCTCAAGGTTGACATGGACTCCAACTTTAGCCACAGTCACGGTGAGTGTCGGGGATTCGGGTTCGACTACCGCCCGTCTGGCGCGTTTTCTTCTCTTTTTGTTTCGCGAAATTTTTAGCAGTGGCTTTACTTTTAGAAAGTAATATTCAGTAAACTGTAACTAAAACTTAAACTGAACCTCCTTACTGAACTTCAAATCAACACTAAAACTACATTGTGAACTGACAGAAAACTACACTTACAACTGCAAAGTGGAACTGCACTGGTGATACTGGAGCGTAGTTGTATGCTTCATTCAAGCATACAACTACGCTTGAAGACTTTACTCTTGAAGTCAAGCGTAGAGAAGAAATTCACCCATGCATTTAGCCGAGCGTAGTTCTACTACGCTTGAAGAAAGGCGTAAAAGTACGCTTCAGTTCTACCAGTGTGTGTTTAGTCTTCAGTTTCTTTTTTAAACAACTATAGTTCGGGGACTACAGTTTAAGTACTGTAGTTGAAACTACAGTTTAACTAAAGATCCTCTCACCCGGGCGCTGATGCAGATGCTTTTTTTACCGGGTCCGCGAGAGTCACCCACTCGAGCAGACGGCAGAGACGCGAGACCCGCGCCGCTCGCGCCATCACGGTCCAGAGGCTATTGATTGATTAGCTGATGAGCCACAGCGCAAGACCCGTTCCGAGAATCAGCTCGGATCATTTTTTCAATGCCTGAGTCACTGCTGCGCGAGGGGCTGGGGGTTGGTTCGTTGGTTCCGAACAGAGTGCCCATCTCGCTGTCTCCCTCGCACCCCTGCGGCCTTCGGGTCTCAGCACGAGTGCGAGGAAGACAGAGCGACCGGGGGAGCCAAGGGGGAGCTGGTTCCAGTCAAACAAGAGGGCTGAGCCAGGAATCGATACGGGGATGACGACGTTGCCGACGATCCCTACACTGTGGGCCCGAAGACCGGCGGAGGCGGCCAAAACTCTAGACGTGCCTTGAGCTGCAGAGTCGCTAAGTGGTACTCGAACCGTACGTGTGACTCCTCCATCAATGTATTCCTCGTTCGGGGAGCAATCCATTGGCGGGGCCACACGTTTGGTTCTGGTCTCATTTAGCGACTCTGAAGACCAAAACGCGTCTAGATTTTTGGCCGCTTCCACCGGTCTTCTGGCCCGCTGCACCAGGCCTAGCTCCAGTTGAGCGGTGTGGTGGCGAGGCACGCCAGCCCTGGGGTACCGAGGGCTCCACGCGAGGGCGCTACTTGGAGGAGGCGCGGAGTCTGCGCGCCGACGGCGGCAAGGTGTTGGTCGCGTCGTGGCGAACCGGCGTGCACTATATCACTCCACGCCACGCAACCTGTCATCGGGGAACAATCGGTCAATCACCGAAACGGGAGCGGTGGCGCGGCAGCCGAGACGGCGGCTACCCCCTCGCGGTGCTCGCCTGTTCGGACGATGCGCATCGCCGAGCACGCCGAGCATGGCGTGCCCGCGGAGCCGACACGCACCGCGCCGCGCAACACGCGGTCCCTGTAGGATTCATTAACCACTGATCCGCGGCCTCTGCGGCGCGGTGGGCGGAGCAGGTTGCCGCTGTGTTGTCGGCCTTGTTGGTGTAGTGGCGGCACTGCACCGCAGCAGGTTGCCGCTGTGTTGTCGGCCTTGTTGGTGTAGTGGCGGCACTGCACCGCAGCGCCGAGCCGCCGAGCGCCGCGCAGGGGTGCAAGGGTGCAAGCCGGTGCGGTGGCGTCTCTCTCGCACCGATTCTGAGGGTCGCTTTCGTCGCTCTGTCTCTCTCGCACCGATAAGGACCGCCCCATGAGTGCGAGGTGAGGCAGAAGAGACCAAACGACTCTCAGAATCAGACTGCTGGGCCGCTGCAGCGGGCATGTGCACCAAACAAGGTCGCCGGCCAATTCGTTTTGCGATGACTAAGTCATTTGGGATTCACGGAAGAAGGACGCTTCGCGTTTTCCGTGCCGATGACGCACCACTGTAAAGGCTTGGCGGCCTTTAGTCCCGCCTAGAGGCGCCAGGGCGACGCCAGCTGTCTCGGCGTCCACCAGGTGTGCCGTCAGCACCGCCGCGGCGCGCCAGCCACCGCCACCAGGCCACCGCCACCTCCCCGCCGAGGCCTCGAAACCGCTGCATCACGCCTCGCGCCCCTTTCGCGGCTCCCCGCGCGGAGCGTGAAGCAGCGCCTGCACTACATTATCATTACCTTCCTGGCCTGGCCTGGCCTCGCCCCCGTTTGCACCGGGTGTGTGGCACGCCGGCACGCCCGCGGGCACGGGTTCGAATCCCCCCGGCGCCGCCGCCGTTTTCCTTTGTCCGACTGCAGACTGATTCCGAGAGTCAGTTTGCTCGCTCTGTCCTTCTCTCTCGCACTCACGGGGCGTCCCGTACGGGTGCGAGAGAGACACAGCGACGAAAACGACTCTCGGAATCGGTCTGTTTTTGTTTTGGCGGCGCCGATATGCCGGCTCAGTGGCTCGGGCTGGACGGAGTCGGGAGTCGGGTCGGGTCGGTGACTAACGGGGGTAATGTGGCGGAAGGACACCAGAGCCGCGTCAGATGGCACGGCGAGCTACCTGCAGTCCTCCCCCTCCCTCTCTCTCCCTGTCCCTCTCTCCCTCTAACGCACGCGATGGTGCGCCGATAAGTCACCCGGCCGGAAAACACGCGGAACATCACGCGGAGGGAGTGAGAGAGAGACTGAGTAGTGGGTGCGTCTGGCCTTTTAGAGTGCCAACAGGCTGCCTCTGAGAGTCGTTTTTCGTCGCTGTCCCTCTCTCTCACTCTTGGGGCGTCCCGTATGGGTGCGAGAGAGGCAGAGCGGCGAAAAGGACTCTCGGAATCAGTCTGCCGGGCCTCTGCTTGGAGGCGCTGCATGCACACCCTGGCAGTCGTCTGATCCCAAACAGTGGTTCTCTGCTTGGTCGCTCCGCCCCGTCTGTCTCCCACTCGCACCCCACGAGGGCGAGAGAGACGGAGCGAGCAAAGCACTGTTCAGCCGCAGCTGTCCCTCGTGGGTCCTGTCTGGTCCTGTCGTTCGGTCCCTTGGTCCTCGGCGCGCCTCGCACCTGAGCCCGGACCAGGGCCTCGTTTGTTTAATCTGCCAAGCAGTGCAGTAATGGCCAGCGATTTCGGCAGCCGGGGCTGGAAAATAAATATTTGAGGTTGGCGGGGCGGGGCGGGCACGCGGCACGCGACCGGACTAACGAGGCCGGCAGGCGGACGGCGCATCACGCGCGTGCCGATCTTGATGGCCGCGGCGCGTCGAGTGGTCACGCCAGCCGTGACGCCATATGGACTGGCAGTGCACTAGTTGAATCCGAGAGGGTGGTCCTCAGCCCGCCCCCTGATCTGTGTCATCTGCAGACCGATTCCGAGAGTCGTTTTCGCCGCTCTGTCTCTCTCGCACTCATGGCGCGTCCCATGTAGGTGCGAGAGAGACGGAGTGTCGAAAACGACCCTCGGAATCAGTGTGTTGTCGGTGATGCTTATCAGGAGGGTGTCGATGATGCAGCCGTGGCGTCGTCGTGGACGGCCAGGGCCTCCTCCACGGAGAACGAGGTGCGCGACTGCGCGGCGCTGCGGTCGCGACTCTCTGCGTGCTGCAAGTCTGGCTGCAAGTTTCATGTGTGACCGGCGCGACCGAGCGCGGCGCCGCGGCCACATCCGCCACCGTCGGCCACCGTCGGCACGAAAAGGACACGGCCTCTGACCCGGCGTGGCGTCGGCCGCGGTCTCGGACTCGGCCTGGACGCGGCCTCGGGAACGGTGCCTCACACGCCGCCGTACAGTGCTGTCGTTCTAGGTTCTTGGTGTATTTTGTGTGTGTGTGTGTGGGGGGGGGGGGGGGGACATCCGACCCAAGCCGCGGACCATCACTGGCTCATCCCTTAGGGCCCGTCGTCCACGCCACACAGTGCAGTGACACACCGAAGACTCTTGGAATAATAACGAGCAGAACAATAGCCCGTGGGGAGCCCGAGAGTCAAGTCCGCCGAATTTGCGAGATTTGTCGGCCGTTTTTCGGCGCCGTGTCCAAGCTGTTGCCATGGAGGCTCCCCGGAGCCGATGTGTGCGCACTGCCCTGCCCCGCGCCACTCTCTGCGTGCTGCAAGTCTGGCTGCAAGTTTCATGTGTGACCGGCGCGACCGAGCTCGACGCCGCGGCCACATCCGCCACCGTCGGCCACCGTCGGCACGAAAAGGACACGGCCTCTGACCCGGCGTGGCGTCGGCCGCGCGTCTCGGATCGGCCGGACGCGGCCTCGGGAACGGTGCCTCACACGCCGCCGTACGTGCTGTCGTTCTAGGTTCTTGCTGTATTGTTGCAGTGTGTCGGGAGCGGGGGGGGGGGAACATCCGAACCAAAGCCGTGGACCATCACTGGCTCATCCCACTGGCCCGTCGTCCACGCCACACAGTGCAGCAACACACCGAAGACTCTCGGAATAATGACGAGCAGAACAATAGTCCGTGGAGAGTCCGAGAGACAAGTCCGCCGAATTTGTGAGATTTGTCGGCCGTTTTTCGGCGCCGTGTCCCAAGCTGTTGCCATGGAGCGCTCCCCGGGGCCCGCCTGTGTGCCGCCCCGCCCTGCCCCGCCCCACCCTGTCCGGCCCGGTCCGGCCCTGGTGGTCATAAAGGTCGCCCTCCGAGAGGACACGCACGCCGCCACGCACGCCGCCACGCGCACGGTGCGGCCGCAGTCCGCTCAAAAATTCGGAAATAATGTATGGAAAGTTAAATCCCATCGGACAGAGCGGCAGTGGCAGCGAGTGGGAGCTTTTTGGCCCCGGGCGAGGCGAGGCGGGGGGTGGAAGGGGGGGGGGGGGCCACGCGGTGCGGTAAATATTGTACATTTACCCCAATGGCGCGCACTGCCGCCGTGATCCGGGGGAATTCAACATCGCTTCTTGAAACTTTGATGACTTCCCGACCGCCGCCGCCGCCCCTCCGCGCCGCCGCGATCCTCCAGGAAGCCGAAGCGGCCCTCTCCCCAGCGGACTGATTCCGAGAGTCGTTTTCGTCGCTCTGTCCCTCTCGCACTCGTAGGGCGTCCCGTGTAGGTGCGAGAGAGACAGAGTCTCTCGGAATCGGCCTGCAGGCTAGCACGCCGCTGCGGCGCGCTGCGGCGTTCTGTTTGTGCCGGGCAGCGGCGCGAAGAGCCTGCAACCTCGGCGTCATGGCGATGCAACACGCCAAACACGCCGCCGCGCAGAAACGTCCACGTCGAGGCGCGGGGTTTCTTTCGCCGGGACGCAAGGTGGGACTCTGGAATCCCAGCTTTTAGCAAAATGATTCTCGCCTGGAAGCACGTAACCGGCAGATGAATTTAGAGAGGCCGAGAGTAAAATAAAATCCGTGCCCTCGGCCCTTTCCAGTGCCGTGTTGCTGCGTCGCTGGGCGCGCAGTCCGGACACAGATTCGACCTTCCCGCTATCTCCCTCCCTCTCTCTCTCTCCCTCGGCGCGGGGCCCCGCGGCAAGGCGCGGTGCCAGCGCTGGCGGGCAGCATCGTTCGCGCACGGTTTCATTGAAAACTTAAATATGTGCTGATCAATTATGTATCCTGGCCACGGAGCGGGCGCCTCGGCGGAGGGCAGAGGCGGTCTGAGCTGCGGCTGGGAGGGGAGGGGAGGGGGAGAGGTTACTGGTGTGCAAACAACCCCCTGACCGCCCCGCCCCGCCCCGCTCCG